TTCGTTGATTTTCCCATAATCCACAAAAATCTTGTGGATCCATCCATCTTGGATTATCCAATAAATTCATAACACATTGAATGCAAACCAGGATAATAATTTAATAAACAAATTATGAGAAGAACACATGTTGCCCATTAAGACATCTCTATGAATCGTTGAGAAGAGTCTCCTATTGCTCCTAGTACCTACTGCTGGTGTAGTACTCCTGAAAGCATCCTTTCCTTCATATCTTCACATGTTGTTGTTGTATCTCTATTCACAAAATCCTTCATGTATCTCCATGAAAAGAAATCCATGCTTGTAATATCAGAGGGGACCTAGCAGGCCTTAATTCAGTGGTTCCGTTTCTCCCAATACATCGAAGTGAGTGAATATTATTCAAGTGCTTTCTTACTGCATTCAAATTATGTGGTGGAGTTCCTGTCTGTTACCATCAAATAAATGTTGTGCTATTACATATTCTCTAATGATTCCTCCCCTAACATTTATCTGTGCTGATAACAGATAAAAACATAAGTCCCTTGAAATTTCCAGTCGATAATTTTGAAAGTTATCACATGACCAGAAAATATATGTGGTGTTTCATTGAAGCAACCCTTAAAATCACCTCCGGTTTGAGAAATTATTTATACCTATACCCTGTATAATTTGAGGGCAAAAAAATTCCTCATCACGAAGAAAAAAAAATCACTTACCCTAGGTGAATGTTCAATACAGTGGCAAGTAAAAACTTGTATATTATATGTGCAAGAAAGCAAGTTAATAGCCACAAGAATATTCAGAGGTTCTTGAAAATGGATACTTGCCACTATTTATCTGTCTCATTGACTACCAGATTATTACCCATGGGTGCTTCAATCACTCGCTGGCAATGGCAAGTGAACTTTTCAATTATCAGTAGTAGTTATTCACTTGTCATTAGTGACTTATTCACTTATTATTATTAACTTATTTACTTGTCATTAGTGACTTTTCCACTTGTTATTAGTAAATCTTCAAGATAAGAACATCAACGATGTCCATCGAGGCCTTCAGACTGAATAGCCATATTGGTTCTGACTGCTGACTGAGACATAGGTCAATTCATCCACCAATACGACCTATATGCTCTGTCTTGGGTACGAACTCCACACACCCATCAGGTTCAAGAGGGAGTTCTTTGCCTCTATTCTTAAACGAATCTCTCATGTCATCGAGAAACAACTTTAGAACCAAATATGTTTCATGTTATGTGGTTCAAACTCAATAGCCAGAAACAGACCAAATATATCTTTGTTGTCTCTACTTATCACCAAATGATCCATCCTATGAAGAGCTTTTCGAATTTTTGTCCTTGAAGCTCGACCTAGATGAGAAAAACTATCCAGCAGCAGAAATCATCATCAAGGGTGATTTCAATGAACACAACACTGCTTCGCTCGTACACTCCAACAAAACGGATGAAGCTGGGCGACAAGCCGAAGGTTTCGCCATAACATATGGCTTAGAGCAGCTCATCAAGAAACCTACACGAATTCCTGATGTCAAAAATCATTCAGTCACACATATTCAACATACTAAACTTATTCTTCACTAATAATTCAGCACCTCACACCATGGATGTACGAATTCCAGTTGGCAATTCTGATCACACACTCATCTCCCAAACCTGTCCATTCTTTATTCCATCAACTACTCCAGCACTCCCACTTCTTGTATGGCATTATAACGTATGTTTTCCTCCCAGTGTTTCCTTTGCATAGAATATGACTTGATTCCGAGGATCCTACACAGTGTGCCGCGGAAATATCCAAGATAATCACGCTTGAAATAGACACATACATATACCTCATTCTTCGAAAGGACCATCAACTTCTAAGCCCTAGTTCATCAAGAACAAACGGCCTACCATCGCTGGCGCAAGGATCCTAACGTCGTGACTAGAGCAGAATATGTTGAAGCAAGGAATAACTACAGCTAAACAATAGATTCATCAAAAGAATCATACAATACTAGAATAAGATCAAAATCGTCCCAAACAGTCGAAAGAAATTTCACTAATAGTTCATTCCCAAAACTCTCCAAAGCCGACGGTACATTAGGAACAACATCGCAAGAGAAAGTGAACATGTTTGCAGAGATGTTCGCAGCAAACTTTACCTTGAATTCCCAGGGAAGAGTGCCGCCAGAAAATCCACCCGTTGAAAGTCGAATGCCCGAAATTGTCTTTTGTCAACGCACTATATCAGATGCATTCTGCTCGGTCTTAAAACGAATAAGTCCAATGGTCCTGATGGAATTCCACCCATTAATCTCAAAAAGTGTGAACCAGAATTGACACCGATTCTCTTAGAGCTATTTATACCATCTCCTACGAGTCGGGTATCCAACCAATCCCCCCCCCCCAAAAAAAAAACGAGAGCCTCCCCAACAACTATAGACCAATTGCCCCGTTTACAGTCTTCTCCAAAGTGATGGAGAAAGCCATCAATATTGAGTTCCACAAATATCTAGAAAGTTCAGGAAGCATTAATGATAGACAATATGGATTTTGATAAACCTAGAATCTCAAGACTAAGAGATTCTAGGGAAATTTCGTGAATCGATTGTCAGCTGATGCAAGACAGACTGTTTCGACTTGCCATAAGTCTCATCAGTTGCACTGGCCAGCTGACAATCGATTCACGAAGGGTACCTCCATATATCTAACAAGTCGAAGCCCTGAGGGGGCAGAAGGACGATCTAGCCTTCATAGCCATCTAGTGGCTTAAGTGCAAAGGTGTATGGTAGATTCATCAATCATACCTTGCGAGTAAGTCGTGCATATAGACCCCTACGTCTATATGCTTACAGAAAAGACATCCATGTCAGATTCTGTAGACTATCGCAACACCTGTGATTCTCAAAGTGGTTTAATGTTCCACTAACAGATGGTGATAAACCTAGAATATGGATTTTTCCATCGAAGATCAACTGGAGATTCACTCGCATACGTCACCCAAATATGGCAAACTTCATTAGAAAAACATGGGGAATCTCTAGCTGTATCGTTAGATATATCGAAGGCATTCGACCGTGTTTGGCACTAAGGACTGCTCCACAAACTCATCATACGGCTTACCACCTCAGCTGTGCCATCTTTTATCGAGTTTTCTTTCAGGCAGATCACTTCATGTGAGTATCGTCTGATACCGTTGCCACCAATTCCGGCGTTCCACAAGGATCGATTTTGGCACCAACATTGTTCGGTTTTCATATCAACGATCTATTGGGAGCAATCACTTGCCCTATCCACAGCTTTACAGACGATAGTACTCTCTATACTGCGTTCTCTTTTAGAATTCCCATTTCATCTCAATATACTTGGATTTCAAAACGCAGGCAGGCCAACGCTGTCAATGATGATCTTGCGGAAATTACAGCCCAGGGAACCAACAACCTAGTTGAATCCAACGCCACCAAAACAAGCCTGTATTTTCTCTAGAAAGGCAGAACTCAGTATGACTGATATAACAATGTCTGGTACCACCATTCTCACCAAGACCACTATATCTATGCTCGGTATTACCATCAGCAATGCTTTCTCATCAGAAAATCATGTCCGATCCATCGCAAAAGCTGCTTCACTTAAACTCCAATTTTCGTTCCGTCTGAAAATCTATACTTCACACCTCAACAGCTTCTGATGATATACAAAGATCAAATATACTGCCAGTTTTAGAATACTGTTCTCATGTATGGGATTCAGCACCTAAACATACGCTGATGCTCTTAGATTTTATCCAGAAAGAAGCAATTCGCCTGGTGGGTGATGCCACACTCACTAACCCTTCAACCCCATTAGAATACTGTAGAAAAGTCGGCGACCTTCCACTTTTCTATAGATACTTCCACGGAAAATGTTCCTCAGAAATCTCTGCTATAATTCTATCACTAGCAATACCAGTCAGACGAACTCGACAGGCCCAGTCAGCACATCCCTTTGTCGACAACTTAAAAGAATGTCGAACAATACTCTACCGAAACTCGTTTGTCTATAGAACTACGAAGTTTTGGAATTCTTTGCCAATGGAAGTATTCCCAAGAACCCATAACCTCCAACACACCGACACCTCTACCGCCTCTCCCTATCCTCCCAATGTACTTTGTTATCTTTGGACGTTTCGAGAACGAATCTGCTCCCGTTTTCAACATAAGAAATTGTATGTGTATTAATTATGTCGATGTTTTGGATCATTAGATTGCATTCATTACGGAAATGGAACTTCAATCCATATCAACAAAAGAAATATCCTAATATAATGATTTCAAAATTTTTCAGTATAATAAATTAGGATAACTTGGGGATAACTTGGAACATACCTGTACCGATTTTCATCATCATTAAACACAGGGTGTTCGAAAAATCAAATTAATATTTTTTTTGAGTTGATGAAAAAATATTGCCAACTTTTTCTTTTTAATTGTTTTCTCATACACATCGTATTTTTGAATGATGAAAATCGGTACAGATATGTTCAAAGTGATCCTCAATAATAATGTGTCATCAATTCTTCTCAAAAATACCACAATACTACATTTTCTGATCACCTATAAAAAAAAACATAATTCGATTTTTCGGACACCCTGTGTTTTATGATGATGAAAATCAGTAGAGGTGTTTTTCAAGTGATCGTGATTCAGAATCCATCATTGTTTTTTGTGAAAAAAATTCCCTAATAGTACTTTCTCAAATATGGGTCAATAAAGTTGGTCGCAGTTGGCCACGATTACAGTTCATGAATAAAGTCACTCTCTTGTTGGATGGAAATTTCAAATACCTATCCAACGAGAAAAAGTTTTTTGAAATCGGTCAGATAATAACAATTTTACAGGGGTGGTAAGTCCTTAAGGTGGACACACTGTATAGCTGGAATATATCCAATTAGTAATGAAACACTCTCTATATAGTTTGAGAAAGTTTGTTTGATGAAAAATCGAGGTGAAAATAACTTTCAAAATGGAAAAATCATTTTCAGTTTTGAGAACCTGTTCAGAATCCTCTTCGCACAACGGCACCTATTTTACGAATGCAGCATACCCTACAGCAGTTACTGGAAGTTCGAGATGTTCTATGGAGATCCAGAAATGTAATAGTAATATTTGCCAGGTAAAATTAATGCAAATCATGAGCGTTCACTTGAAATAAAATCAATCTGGAATATACTTTAACGTATACACGTCTGGCAAAAATAATTTTCTTTTAGGGAAACCATAGATTAGGGTCGTTAATCTATGGGGAAACCTTGTGCATTCTGTGCATGGGCATTTAGGCGAAGAGAACGGCGATGTTGCCATACGCTTGGCATCGTGTTAGCCCCGTCTCCTTCGAGCGAGTAAATTTTTCGGTCCGACCGCAGGAATTATTGTTGGCCATTCGTGCCATACTCGAGAAGGTGGGGCATCGACGCTTACCCATTACACGGTTTCTCTACAAGAAAACTATTTTTGCCAAACGTGTATATGGTGTTGGTAAATGGAGGTCATACTAATGATTTTATTTTTGAATTGGGTATCGTCACAAATCTCACGAGGAGAGTTTAAATTGTAATTTGTATGTTGTGTCAAATAAATGAATAAATTAATGAATAAAATAAATCTGGAAAGCGCTATACAGGTGTATTGATGTATTTTCGCCTGATAAATGATGTTTCAGCTCCACTCAAGGATATACAGGGTGGGTCAGTTTTCAGTATCAGGACTTCAACAGCTTGAAGAACACTTATTTTCGAGATGACAATCTCGCATGTGAACATATATGCGTTTCCGATGAAAAGGGAGTAAAAATATGAGTTTTTTTTCAATGTTTGTTTTCTCTTACAATTTTCAAAATAATGAATTGAAATTTGGTATAACTGTTACATTTCAAAAACTCGATATTCATGGTTAATAGGCGATTACGATTACCTACAGGGTGATACAGTCTTGAAGGTTGTACTCTCTTGAACTTTTATGCGTGCTGCCTCTGCTTTCAATGTTATATTGATTTTGAATTATCTGTTCTATTTGGAACCATTTCGCACAATATTTATATGTTTTTGGAAAACTGTATGGATTTCGAGATGAATGCCAAAAATAATTCACTTGTGATAAAACTTTTTCTAATACACTCTATTGACTAGAAGACTTGGAATGATCAAAAGCTTTCATGAGATGTGTTCATGAAACTGTTGGCGTTGTTAGTGATTGTCATTATTGATCAATATCTTTTTTCCACTTTCACTTCACTCACTTTATAATTTGAAATTATTGAAATGTGAAACATAAATATCTTCAATAGCGAATAACGCCGTTAGAGATAGACAATGAAATTGGACGGGCTTTCAGATGTTCCACTTATTTTGATCATCGTTCAAAATGGACAATGGAAGATATGATGTAATTTAATCTTTGGAAGAAGTCCATGGTAATGCAAATTGAAGTTTTATATTTCATAGATGAAGAAACCCAGTCATCTCCACAACATTCATTTGACGATCAGAGATCGATCACATGGAGGTACATGTTTCGGGCTTATATAAGCCCATCATCAGCCGACTACAAGAATTAGTTCTAGAAAAACCAATAATGACATAGGATATACAGGGTGTCTGTAAAAGGTCTTCACAAAAACATACCACATATTCCTTAGACCAAAATAATTCGATTTAAGTAAAATTACCTCAGTACAAAGTTGCATCGTTTGGGCTCCAGAGGGCCTTGAAGTTACAATTTTTAAATTGTTCTTCCCATATAAATTTCAAACGACATATGCGATTTTGCTGAAATTTGGTATACTGATGAAGTTTTATGTGGCGAAAAAAATGGTATCAAAATTTTGTCCGATAATAATACATAGGCGTAGAACTTGATTTTTTATATAATTGCACCTTTAAAAATTCTACGCCAATGGAAGAAAAGAAATTTGAGTATGAAATTTAGATTGCGCAACTCATTTACTTAAAAAAAGGTACTCTTGATAAGACTCGATTGCTCTCATGGTTTTGACGAAATTTGCATTTTAGTAATTTTGGAACATAAACAATAATTATTGAAATACAAACTTTGTCAAAACCATGAGAGTAAATCGAGTGTTATCAAGGGTACTTTTTGTAGTAAATGAGTACCCAATCCAAATTTCATACTCAAACCCCTTTTCTGCCATTGGCGTAGAATTTTTAAAGGTGCAATTATTTAAAAAATCAAGTTCTACGCCTATGTATTATTATTAATTTTCTTCGACGTATAAATTTTTGTATGCGTGAAAATGGTGAACATTTTGAACAATTTTTGTGAAATCTCGATTCATTTTGATTATGTTCGAAAAAAATATTTTCGTGAAACCTATACACTCTAAATTATTAAAACAGAAATTTAGCGAAAACTATGAGAGTAATCGAGTCTGATCAAGAGTACCTTTTTACTCAAACTCCTTTTATTCCATTGGCGTAGAATTGTTGAAGGTGCAATTATTAAAAAAATCAAGTTCTACGCCTATGGATTAATATCGGACAAAAATTTAGAACCATTTTTTTGCCACATAAAACTCTATCAATATACCAAATTTCAGCAAAATCGCATATGCCGTTTTAAATTTATATGGGAAAAACGATTTAAAAATTGTAACTTCAAGGCCCTCTGGAGCCCAAACAATGCAACTTTGTTCTAAGGTAATTTTACTTAAATCGACTTATTTTGGTCTAAGGAGTATGTGGTATGTTTTTGTAAAGACCTTTTACAGACACCCTGTATAGATACAATGAATACTTACTTACATGTAAGTAAAAGTAAGTAAATAACAACGTGATATATATCATATATGAATGGCGTTTTTAATACCGACCGAACTAGCTATCCATATGTGCCTATTTTCTCATTTAAATGTTGTTACATGCATTCTTTTCATTTTTATAGTTCCTATTCTGCGAAAAGTGCTATGAATTGAGGTGGGTGTTTATACCCTATTTCTATTTTCCATCTACGGCTATGATTGATTTGAGAGGAAATCTAACCTCTGAAATCGTATATGACAATCAGGTGTTACTAGGATAATTGAAAAGACGAAGAGCAGAATATATGTCTATTCACTCAAACCATTATTGTAATATATAGAAAATAGAAAAGGACGGAAGTTCACCTGTATCCGAACTCTTATCTACTAATACCATCCAGTGATTCTATAGTGTTTACTATCTGTAGTTCAGAGATTTTTCATTGTTATTGAATCACCCTGTATGTTCACCTACATGAGATTTTTATCCCAAAATAGTTTCTTCTTTAAGATGTCGAAATCCTGCTATAAAGACTAACTCATCCTGTATAATCACGGTACGTTATAGAAGTTTATTGAAATCTGTCACAACATAACTTTTTTTACGGCTGCTTTAAAAAGTAGCGTATTTTCCCTCACGCCAGTTTGCCCAAATCACATACAATTTATAATTATGGAGAATGAACAAAAATCCACAAACATTTTGTTGGCTGATGTTCAGTTTTGAATAGTTGTCATACCTATCAGCAGAAGTTTTTCAAATTCTGAAGGTAGTTTCTATTCGTGCATTGATAATCAATTGGCATACGAAAAATTTATAGGAAGTAGAAAAAATACAGAAATAAAGTCTTCAGTATATAAAAGATACACTTTCCGAAAAAGATGTATTTTTTCTACATTCCATAAATTTTTCGTATGCCAATTCATACTTTCTTCTTCAAATTTTCGGCAACAAATCCAACTTTCGCAGCTTTTTCCATTATCTCTGGCGGTGTTATTATCAAACTTGTTACTTCTCTCAGTATATACATATTATTTATTATGAATATTTCGAATGGGAAACTGCGAATTTTATCAAAGCACTAATGAAAACTAACTTCTGCTGACAGTTGTGACAACTATTCAAGGCTGAACAGCAGCCGACTAAGTTCTAGTCCATTTTTGTTGATTCCTCATGGAAATGTATGTGGTGCTGACAAAGTTCCGTGAGAAATAGTAATTATATTGCTTGAGGAGCACGAAATGATTTCCTACGAGAATGAAGTTTGCAGCATGAGCCATAGGCGAATGCTGCAATCTGCCGAGTAGCGGCATTTTGATTTATTCGTCTTGTAGCCATTTGATTTCCTATCAAGTAATGCTCATCTATTTGACAGAGCTGTCATTGCTCCACATTTGACATTCTATGAACAATGAGATTCTTTTGAAATAATAACACAATGATACACAGGGATATCAGATACGGAAATAATATTGATGACATACAAAGTCCCTCATTGACGTATCGAACACAGTAAAACAAGAGCAATTTTGTGTTATATAGCCGTAGCAAAAAATATGTCTCGCAGTATATGAGCAATACATGGTTTTGAAACTAAGTAAGCTATGAGAAATACGATACTTTTCATAGCAGTTGTGGAAAGAGTATTTTTCTTCTTGTGTTTGTGTTGTGGCACTAGCCCTTCAGGCTCGTCCCGCAAACTTCCATACTCGTGAGAAAAGTCGAAGTGTCTTCACTTCATCATTCCAGATTCTTTTGGATTTTCTCTCCTCGTCTCTATAAAATGAAAATATGAATATTATTTCAATTTACGTGTAGTGAGGACAAATCAGATGATTTGCCCCAAAATTTCACTGCGTTTAAAGAATTTCCCTATCGAAGAGCCTAAAAGAAAAATTCACTCGCTTGTCAGCGACAATTTGTATTGAAAAAGGGTTGGAGAAGAAAAATAAAGGTATATAGAAAAAATATCAAATTTTCACTTATCTTTGGACGTTTCGAGAACGAATCTGCTCTCGTTTTCAACATAAAAAATGGATATTTGCATGGCAAATTCATATTTATCTTGACACTTCTCAATTCTCAGTGACAATTGGTGACGTTGGCAATCAAATGAGTTATTACAGGATGTTTTCAATTACTAATCTTGAATTTACAATTTTCATGTTCAGATTTATATAAGTAGTGTTCTATCTATATCAACTGAACAGGAAGTATTGCTATTGTCTCCGTTTAGAAGAATGCAAGCAGATTCCTTGATTTTTATCTTTTGGTTTATATCTTCTTTTCTATTCCACTTTGTCATATGTTGTCCAAGTGCAGTAAGGATATGTTCAGCTAGTTTCTATTTGTCGATGTGTCTTTTCTTCATATTTCACTTATGTATAAGGACGAAGGAACATAAGTACAATATAAAGAAGAGACACATCGACACATCGAAACTAGCTGAACATATCCTTACTGAAGATGGACAACATATGTCAAAGTGGAATAATATTGAAATCATTGGAAAAGAAAATAACAACCAGAAGAGAAAAATCAAGGAATATCTGCTTGCATTCTTCTGAACGGAGACAATAGCATATTGCTTCATGTTCAGTTACTATATAGATATAACATGGTATTCATTACTGAAATTTGAAAATGAAAGTGGTAAATTCAAGATTGATTAATGAAATAATCCTGTAACAAATTTGACAGCCAACGTCACCAATTGTCACTGAGAACTGAGAAGTGTCAAGACGAATACGACTTTATACCTTTATTTCTCTTCTTCAAACCTTTTTCAATACAAATTGTCACTTGCAAGCTAGTGCATTTTTCCTATATGCTCTCTGATAGAAAAATCCTTTGAACGCAGTGATATTTTGGGGCAAATCATCTGATTTGTCTTTACTACACATATATTGAAATAATATTCATATTTTTCTTCAATAGAGACGAGAGAAAATCCCAAAAAATCTGGAATAATGAATGTATACCACCTCCTCGATTAATTAACCTACAGACAGTATCCCCATTTGTTGCAAACTATACTATTCCAGGTAAGAATCGACTTTCTGAGTCTCGTTTTGGCCCAGCCGAACGCCACTGGTTTTTGCACCACCGACGCCCTCATCATCACAGGAGGCGGCGGCACGGTGCCGGTCATCTGCGGGGACAACACCGGCCAACACGTCTACGTCGATTTCAACGGAGACGAGAATATCCTCATGACCATCACGACTGGAAGCGCCTCGACTCTGGGCAGGTCGTGGAATCTGAAAATTACCCAAATCGCCTGCGATTGCCCTACAAGAGGTATCGTACAGGATACCTTTATATATGATATCGTGATGTATACCTACTCCAAAATAATGAGAGCTTCACAAAATCTAAGATGAAATACATTACACTGAAAAATCTCAGTTAGGCAACAGAACAGAAATAAATAACTCACTAAGCAAGTAACACATATTTTTAGTTAGGAGACCTCTGAATTTGAGGTGAGTTTTACAATCCCTGACACTTCTCGACCAACACATTTACGTCAATTTCAACAGGGACGATAATATCCAGATTACCAATACGACTGGAAGCGCCTCGACTTTGGGCAGGTCGTGGAATCTGAAAATTACCCAAATCGTTTGCGATTGCCCTACAAGAGGTATAGTACAGGATACCTTCAAATCGTGCTGTATACTCCAAAATAATGATAGCTCCACAAAATCTAAGATGAAATACATTACATTGAAAAATCTCAATTAGGCTACAGAACAGAAAAAAAGAACTCACTAAGCAAGTAAGACATATTTTTACTTAGGAGACCTCTGAATTTGAGGTGAGTTGTACAATCCCTGACACTTCTCGACCAACACATTTACGTCCAATTTCAACAGGGACGATAATATCCAGATGACCATCACGACTGGAAGCGCCTCGACTTTGGGCAGGTCGTGGAATCTGAAAATTACCCAAATCGCTTGTGATTGCCCTACAAGTAGTATAGTACAGGATACCTTTATATATGATCGTGAATCGTAATGTATACTCCAAAATAATGAGAGCTTCACAAAATCTAAGATGAAATACATTACATTGAAAAATCTCAATTAGGCTACAGAACAGAATTAAAGAACTCACTAAGCAAGTAAGACATATTTTTAGTTAGGAGACCTCTAAATTTGAGGTGAGTCGTACAACACCTGACATTTTTTGGCCAACACGTCTACGTCGATTTCAATGGGGACGAGAATATTCTGATGACAATCACGACTGGATGCGCCTTGACTCTGGGCAGATCGTGGAGTCTGAGAATTACCCAAATCGCTTGCGATTGCCCTACAAGAGGTATAGTACAGGATACTTTTATAAATGATCGTAATGAATACTCTAGAATGATGAGAGCTTCACAAAATCTAAGATAAAATACATTAATTGAAAAAACTCAATCAGACTACAGAACAGAATCAAAGAACTCACTAAGTGAGTGAAACATATTATTAGTTGGGAGAGCTTGAGGCTATTCCTGAATTTGAGGTGAGTCGTACAATCCCTGACACTTCTTGACCAACATGTCTACGTCAATTTCAACGGGGACGAGAATATATCCTGATGACCATCACGACTGGAAGCGCCTCGACTCTGGGCACGTCGTAGAATCTGAGAATTCCCAAATCGCTTGCGATTATCCTACAAGAGGTAAAGTAGGTACGGGGTCTTTACGAATGTTCGGAATGAATACTCTCAAATAATGAGAGCTTCACAAAATTCAAGATGAAATTTATTACATTAAACAATCTCAATAGTTAGGCTACAGAGTACAGAACAGAATCAAAGAACTACTGCCAGTTTTCCACTACTGATACGCATGGAAAATAAAAATATATGAGAACTCTTCATTATTCGCATGTCGTTCCCTCAAAACCCACTTAATTACGACTGTTTTTGGTTATCTGTCCTTTTCGAGAGAACAGTTGGGCCTACAGCTAACAGTCTAGTCCCAAATGAAAGCTAATTGAATTTACTACAACTTCATTTCATATATTTGACGTAAGAAGCGTATTTTAGAAAATATTTCACGAAATAAGCGACCATTTCTAAAAAATTTCAATCTTTGGGAAAAATTGCCTATTCTTGGAAGAACTGTATCTTGTGAACCAATATTGTTGTATAGAGCTCGCTTTGATCTCGAATTATAGTTAATTTAGTCCACTTCAGAGGTATACTGGTTGGACGCTTCCTTCACTAAGATATTGAGCAAGAACTGAAAATAGTCTGTAAAATTTTATAGTTTTTCTGGATACACGGCCGCTTGCACAGCACATGTTATTTAATATTGGTTCAGGTCCTAACAACATATTAACTATTCAGAACGACCGGATTTTTTGCAAGAACGACCTCATTTTCATAATTAACTTTCTTGAACTATTGTCCAAATAATAAAAATATTAATCATTTCCTGAAGATTCTAACATAGTTAGCGAAACACGAGTCAAGGCGTTAAAAAATCGGTTTGGTTAGTGGTAAAACAGTGTTGGTGGGAGAAATTGAGTATTGAGTAGTGGTTTATTGCGATTTTGAATTCTTCGCAGTAAAGAGTATCTTTCGCAATATTATCGTTCGGTTTCTCATGTTAATAATGAAAGGATGATCAGTGCATTTCACAGAAAATAATTATTGTAAGTGTTATAGAAAATATTTTCTCCAACTTCCGGTAGATGATGAGTTATACCTACATACATCCAGCTTTGGGTACTTTTTCTCCTTTATGAACACAAATATATACAGGGTGATTTACGTATGCCACACAGAACAAGTTTTCTAACTTGCAGTTGGACTAAAAACTTCAAAATTAAAACACCAAATTTGTGAAACAGTTAGCTGGATGTCCAGGCTAACTCATGACCTGATGTCCCGTCGATGGTCCCATTCTGTACCATATGGGCGCAGGATATTTTCAACTGGAGGCCTATGATTGACTACCTCAGCTAATAGAGTTCATATAGCCGAGCGTAGCGAAGCTAGGAATTCAGCCAAGGCAGTCGTCAATCTACATTTGCTGCCGTGTCAAACATATAATTTTATCTCCAAATGTATAACACTAATGTTCAATTTTTTTATTGAAAATTCCATCATTTCGTGTTCACCCAATGTCAGTGTCAATTTTGATTACCAATTTCATTCAAATTATTCTTTTCCTGCCTGTTAAGTATCATAGAGAAGCCACGTTGTATGCCGCTAGGAGGAAAAACAATTAGGTAGACTGGAAATTATTGATTATAAAAGCATGCCAATTGTCAACTTTTTAATCCATATAAATCAGAAAATACAATAATAATAATAATACAATAATAATATTAATGAATTGCTTTTATTGATAGTAAGTACAATAAGTAGATTTACGAATAACTTTGATGCTTACTATCAAATAGCGTTAGCGTTTACCCATGTGTGAAATCGGTAAATATTTTCTTACAACACCACCTACGTGAATCACTCAGTATATGCACAGTGTCTATCTCATATACTTACTCTGTAAGATTCAGCATCATATTCACTCCACTGAAGCAACATCAGGATTTCAATATGCAGGTACTCATTTACTAATGACAACACTAAAACTAATTGTTCTAAAATTGTTTTATCCGTCATTCGGTTGCACCCTTACGAACAACCCTCAGAAGTCTTCGAGAGTCTTGTGCGAGCAAGGAATGACGGGGGCCTTACCTTTTAACGTGTGATTCCAAACACTTTCTTGGGCCATCAGAAAAATGTCTGCAGTCGATGGGAATCGAACCCACGACCGGCAAGCGAATGCGAATTAGAATATTGACACTCTTTCCGCACGCCTATACCTGGCTAATAGTGAAGCATACTGAGTTGAACAGATATACCTACGCTGAAAAGCTTCCATCAATCACAACAGTACACAAATACTCCCAAGGAATTCAAATGATGCAAACACCCAAATGACCCCCTTTGAATACAACAATAATATACCTACTTTCTACTCACACATATCCGCTATCTGCCACTTTGGTAGCCTGCTATCATGAGTAGGTACCTACATAAATATGAGTAGGTACCTATATATTATTATAGCTACTCATATTTGTATCTGAAATTATTAAGCGAGCGTTGACGAGATGTATGAGTCGACTAAAAGTAGTTTGATAACATTCAAATCAAATCAAAATAATATTCTCTAAGTTGGTAAGTTAGAAGAATAAAACAAAGATATATATAATGTATACGACAATTAACATAAATACATTTTTTCACTAACACGAACAAACTTGAAGCGCTGTCTAAAATACTTGTGTATAAAGAACCCCAACAATATATAGAATGCATAGGTACTGCAACGAAAGTTGGCGACTGATGCTTTACGATGTACAGAAACATAATCAAATTCCGTAGAATAGACGAGAACAAGTTGTGAAACCACTGATTATCTTATTCGATCGGACAGAAAAGTAGGACTTTCAATTGAATCGGTGAGAATAAGAACAGTACAAGTCCAAATGTTACGTTTTGGGAAAACAAGAAAAACTCTCTGTAAAGTTGTTCTGTTCTTACGCTCAACGCTTCACGATGAGCGCCGTCATACGCCTTGATATATAGTGATATTGATACTGTTTCTCGACTCATTCGATGCAGCTTCGTATTACAGACAAAATGGCTATTCCAGTTCGAAATGTCAAATTTTGGACTTGTACTGTTCTTATTCTCACCGATTCAATTGTAGGACGTCATGACGACCTCCAGTATTGTACGTCAATATAACTTCATTTGTAGGTCATATTTTGGTCAGGGTCGTCGTGGACCAAAAATTACGAACAGTCAACGTCCATGTGACGTTTTCTTACGTAACTCTGCACTTGATTTCTCAGTTCCAATAACCCTGCCAAACTGAATATATTCTTGGGACTCTAGAAACTATGTATTATCGTCATTTGCATATAGGATTTATAATTTCTCGAGTGATTGAGACAATATTGAAGATTTATGAGGTACCTATCCCTATACATCAAAAGTAGGTATTTGCCTTTCAGCACCTGCTGGATGTTTGCAGTTCTACAACACTACAACTGGAACTGTAACAAGCTTCAATTACGGTGTGGGTAGCAATATCATTGATGCGACTACGGGTCTACCAGGAACAAGAGAATTGGTGAATGAAAACTATGGAATATGCGTGGGAATGCTCCCAGGTGAATATAATGTTCAAATGTGAAATTGAATGAATCTAATACACATTCACCTTCTTACCTTCTTATGATATTCAAATGAGCTAAGTAGAAAACAATGCATATACCTAGCTATACTATTGAGGAGAATCTGAAGAAAATACCTTGAACATTAATCAACATAGTCTGATGTCGATACAGCACAGAGAGACAGAAACGTAATTTTGCATAAATATCTTCCATCCGACGCCAAATGACGCGTATTCTTACTGATGATTACATATTCACTCATCAGTCTTCATCTGAAAAATACTCCAAACGATACAACCAATATGGCTCCTGCGAGAATAATGTTTGGAAACATTTTCATCAATATTCAAATTACACTGTTTCAACCATCGTAATTATTGAATAAATGAAATCAGAAACGAAATGACTATCGATCAAGAGCTATCTCAGTTAATATTGGTTTCACAGACACGTTCAAATGAGCAAAATGAAGTATTTTTCATGGGCATTCAGAATATAGTACTATGAAATGCAAAGAAGCATCGTAAATCTAAACATTTTGAATGAACCGATATTTTTTAAAAGGAACACCTTGTAATTCATTGTCCTAATCGGTAGAACTCTTTCTTCTGATTTCAAATATGTATACTTTATTGAGGTTATCTTTGTCAGTTTTCGAATAATATAGATTCTAAGGCAGCTGTAGAACGCCAGAAATCGCAGAATTGTTGTCTGGCATTAAACACCTGCCTTTTATATCTATAAAAAAATCTCGATTTTTCCAAAACTGATGAAACATGTCCTCCACAAAGTATATATATTTGAAATCAGAAGAAAGAGCTCAACAGTTTAGAAAAATAGAATACACGCTGTTCCATTTGAAAATACCAGTTTATTTAAAATTTTTAGGTTTACGATGCTTTTTTTGCATTTTCTAGAACTAGATTCTGAATGCCCACAAAAAATAATTTACTTTTGCCGATTTGAACGTTTCTGTAAGACCATTATTAACTGAGATAGCTATGTGTGCTGATTGAATCATTCATATACACACGGATAATTTGAAACCTGTGAACTTAGACCTTCCTCTGACATTGAAAAGAGCATCAAGGTTTTCTAAGGTCCACTTGGTCACACTCATGCAAATTAATTCACTCCCTATTTCTGGTGACAAAACTACAAAGTCCATTATAGATCAAGATCCACCTGACCTAGGTAATTATTTGTAATCAATGAACCATAACAAAATTATCGTAAAAAGATCATGAAAAAATGTATGTAGTTAACATATTATACATACTCAGTGTTGCCTCAATGGCTGTTATTGAAGAAGTTATAGTTGTCATGATTATGTTTGAATGGAATATAAAGTCAAAAGAGTTGCAATAATGAGTTCCTTTTCAAACTAATATAAGCAGGCCCATTAGTTCTAGTAGTATAGCATAACAAATTGATAAAAATAGCATTATTGAAATACATTCTTGTACAGGGTGATTGAATATATGGATTTCACGCTTTCAACACTCAATATCTCGAGAACGAATTGAGATATCGGAAACTTCAAAAAAGAATCTTGAATCAGATGTTCTCTTCCAAATGATGCCCCTCAAACATTAAATCTCCAGGGAGTGTGAAAATGTTAATTTTTTTTTAAGGAAAACCCTATATTTTATTGCATATTTGAGAAAAGTGATTTTTCCTGATTTTAAAGACAAAATTTTCATACATTCCATGGAGTAATACTGATGGGTGAATCGAAGGAATATAACTTGAGATTAATTGAAATTTTTTTCATTGAATCATCTAATTCAACTCAAGATGAGTTGAAACCAGGAGATTAAAGAAAATATCGATTGTCAGTTGACTTGTCAGCAAACTTGATATCAATCAGATAATTTTACGACCACAATGTCAATCAATCTCAAGTTATATTCCTTCGATTCACCCAGTAATACTCCATGGCAGTCCATGGAATGTATGAAAATTATATTTTTCTCCGATTGGCAGCAAATATTAATTTTGCTGACACATATCAATCAGCAAAGTATTACTTTTCCTGCCTAGGCAGCAAAGTGGGTACTTTGCTGATTGATATGTATCAGCAAAATTAATAATCCATAAATCGTTTATAATTTCCTTCATATTTCATTCGAGACTTCTCCGGCAACAAATTCAACTCTATATTTTTTGCCACCTCCCTTATTTCTGGAGTACTTCCAGGTCGCTATCACTGTTCATTATATAATAATTTGAATATACCGATATTTTTTCGCAAAACTGTCAGAATTTTCATGAATTGTCAAACTATAATTATCATGGACAACTGCGATTTCTATCAAATTTCATTTTATTTGAACACTACATGAAAAATAAAGCGATTGTGGGAATTGTAATAATTTGCAATTGCAATATCCTCCTATATCATTATGAACAATCGGAGAAAAAATTATATGTTCAACTTGGCAGCAAAGTAGATTGACTGCCTTAGCTGGATTCCTAGCCTCGCTACGCTCGGCTATGAATTCAGCCTCGGCAGTCAATCTACTACTTTGCTGCCTAGTTAAACAAATAACTATTTTTGAAATCAGGAAAAATCACTCTCTCAAAATATGCGATAATACATAGGGTGTTCAATTGAAAAAAAAAAAAATATTTTCACACTCTTCCTATGTGGAATGGAGATATAATGTTCGGAGGGCATCATTCAAAAGAGATCAACATCTGATTCAAGATTCTGTTTTGAATTTTCCAATATCTTGGTTCGTTTTCGGGATATTGAGGGTTGAAAACGTGAAATCCATATTAAATCACTTTCAGCTGCAATACTTCTGTAGAAAAATGTACAGGGTATCCCACATAACATAGGCCAGCCCATTATCTAGTGAACTGAGAAGTTCAAGAGATACGGACAAAATTGAGAATCTGAGTTGTTTATAGTCATATACGATTCCTCTTTTTCAGATAATGTCAACTATACCGGATGATCCATATACAAATTCAATCCTCAGTTCCTTTTCAATCTATTCTAGTGGCCCATGTTATGTGGAATAGCCTGTACCACTTATTCTCGTTGGGTCGGGTATCCTTTGAGCCAGTGTTCTTCAGACCTCTGATGAAGACTAATAGCCCGAAACGTTCTTCAGCTAGTTAAATCTGTGCCTGGCTTAAAATTCGTACACAGTTGGGCATAGAAAAAAAAAACAATTGCAATCAGTATTCGTTTATACGAATCGTTCCATAAATTTAGAGAGGATATGTGATTCAAGTTCTGCGTAGTAGTAGCCAGGCAAATAGTTAGAAAATTTGGAGATGACTTCGAGTGTTCTCTATTTGTTCAAGGATATTGTTCAATACAGTGGACTTCCAATGGGTTTTCCGTCAGTGGAATACCTGGTGGTGAATTTGATGCTTTGTCAAACGGAGACTGTACCACAGATTTCGTAGTGATAGCCAATCCGTTCAATCCTAACGGAGTAGCCTTGGGTACTGATAGGTTCTGCGGAACTTCCTTCAATACCGTTGTTAGTAAGTATTTTCAATGTCAAATTGACTAGGGTCACTGGATGGTATTATTTAGATAAGAGTTCGGACACAGCTGAACTTTTGTCCTTTTCTATTTTCTATATTACAATGGTTTGAGTGAATAGAAGAATAAGACATACATTCTACTCTTTGTCTTTTCAATTTCCCTAGTAGCGCCTGATTGTCAGATACGAATTTAGAGGTTAGATTTCATGTCAAATCATTCATTGTCGTAGATGGAAAATAGAAATAGGGTTTGAACACCCACTTCAATTCATAGCGATACGGCAATTCGCAGAACAACAGTTCTAAAAATAAAAAGAATACATATAACAACCATTTAATATGACAATAGACACATATATGGATTTAATCATAGCTAGTTCAGTCGGTGTTGAAAACGCTATTCAATGATATTGGTACTACGTTGCGATTTACTTGATTTCCTCAGTTTCTTTCTCAAATGTTCAATTTCATTACGTAGTTTTACAATCAATTCGTCTTTCTCCATGATAAGCGATACATGTTTCGCAGAACAATAGTAATAAAAATGAGAAGATTTTATGTAGGAAACAAAATTTTAATATGACAAAATACACATATGGATATACTAATAGCTAGTTCCTTATTGTATGTGGAACTGTACCCGAGTGATAAAGTTTAAAACATGAAAATTGTTTCGATTTTCCACCTTTTGATGCATTCACTTTCCACTAATAAATTTTGAATTTGTCGGTATTGAAAACTCCATTCAATGATATTATATCACAATGCAATTGGTTTCGTTCTCACTTTTGTTTTGCATACTGTGTGGTGATAATATTGGAATTTTTTTCAATAGTCTGTTTTGTAAATCAGTGGAATAAATTTTCTCAATCGAATCTTATAAATTTTCTGTTTTAAAAATGGGCCTGAAATATAATTTTATTCCAATCTGCTGTTATAAGTAATGAATTTTAATGTATGTACTTACCTCACAAATTTTGCTCGTCTTCAAATTAATTTTCCATCCAGGCCGTTTCATAGATTCCTTCCATAAGGAAATGGTAGATAAATTATTTCCTTTTGCAAATAAAAAAAATGCTATCGCCATTCCCTTCAGAATTCCCGCAATTCATTACACAGCAGGTCATTTATATTTATACAATTTTGAATGAAAAAGTGCGGAACGACTATGATGCTGTTGTCATAATGCAAGGTGTGTAACTTAATGAATCTAAAACATTCAAAAACACTAACAGTTGTCCGAACTCTTATCCAAGACTAATACCATCTAGTGACTCTGAAATTGACTACAAAGACATCAACAGAATGAGATGATTGTGAGTATAACACAAAAGTAAAAATTCAATCATTCATATATTTCAGGTACTCTGAAACCGTTTGTGCTATATGTTGTCACTAATGGCGATGAAATAAATGATGTAGCTAACTCAGGATTTTCTTTGAGTTTCACTCAACAACCGTGTACCAATACAGCAGCAGCACTTCTTGGAAAATAGATGAGTGCCAGGAACAGTTGGAGTATTAGGTCTGGGTTTGTACGGATTCCATGCTTTCAATTAGAAATAGCAAACAACCTGAACATGGGTTGACCACAACACAGTGCTCAAAATAGTTTGCGGAATACATATTTCGCGCACTTCATGTAAACAATATGATATTTTTGTATTAATTTTTTTAAGATTCTCAATCAAGCAAAAGTTCAAGAAATCATTCATTTCTGAACGTTTTGACTATTTTTATAAAAGCAACGGATCTGGATCACCAAAGTGGAACATTTCGAGCACTAGATACGAAAATACATATTTTGTATTTTGTATTTCGTTATCGAGAACTGATTATTTATGAAATTTGAAGAGCACCTTAGTGCGGCAAATGTGCATGAAAGACGACATACTCAGTGGCGGAATTAAGATTCATCACTGGGGGGGCAGGGGCTAGGTCCAATATCTAAGGAAAAAGAAAAGCAATATGTAACTCACGTTGGTTTTGATCAAAGTGTGCATCATTTGGTTACATTGACAATATAAAGAAAAATGAATATTGGAAACTAAATCAAATAATATCACACAACAGGTACAGGTTGATTCACCATAAATGTCCCCCCCTCTAGCTCAGTTATTTTTGAACCGATCGCAAAATTTAAGGGATCATTTGAAATGATTTTTCAATTTTTCAATACGTTTTTTCCGCTACATCAGGAAATACAGGGTGCTCAGAAAAAACTATATACAGGGTACTAGTTGATTTTTTGAAATGGGACACCCTGTAATTCATTCCATTTTTATATTCTCCCTGAAGAGCTGATTTCATCAATGCATCACACTTGAGGTCTAGTTGGAATAATTACGGAGGTATAGGGTGTTGAAAAATCGAGATTTTTCAACTTTGTGTCCAAACTATTCATTATTGGTCAAAACGAGTCATCTGTTCCTATCACAACTTTTGATTTACTATCTATTGACATTCAATCGGAACACTACAGGGTGGTCCAATGAATAGCTTCGACAGAAAAAAATCCTTAAGTTGAAAAATCTGGATTTTGAACACCCTATATCTCTCTAGTCATTCACGCTAGACTACTAGTGTGATACATTGATGAGATCAGCTCGTCAGGGAGAATCTAGAAATGCAATGAAATATAGGGTGTTTCATTTGGAAAAATCAACTAGTACCCTGTAGAATGTAGATCGTTTGTTCCAAGCGCCCTGTATTTTCTGATATAGCGGAACAAAATTTGATCAAGAATTATTTTCACCCTTTACATACATTGGAATAGTAACAAAAAAAAACAAATTAACGAATACAAAAAATTCGACTGAGTCAGTTACTGAAAAATGGGATTGAAATAAGACAAAACTTAGAAATTAAGGTATACATTGTAAAGTTATTTAGGTAGTAAATTGAATTCCTGTGATATTCCCCATACCCCTTACCCATGTATATTTTTCCATTATTAGAATTGTTTACCAGACCCCCACGGACCCCCGCCCCTTAATTACGCCACTGATTATACTGTTTCAGTCAATACACCAAGATACAGGTGTGTCACATCATGTTTGAATAAATTACATAGAACTTTGTTTCAGTACATCACAAATTATGTATTGTTGAATTGGAATAGCTGAATTAACTAGATATCTATATTTTTCCCTCAACCTGTCATGAAATTTTGCTTGCCAGATACATTTCGAGGTTTATTTTGATATTTCATATTCTTCATGATATATCTATCAGATTTATCATAAGCGCCCACTTTGCTTAGCGATAAGTGATGCTAATGATTGTTGATTATTTCGTAACAATTCCAGGTGATAAAGGGTGTAGGTACAATTTTTTATTTGAATCAGCCTATATTGCACTCTATTTCACGTTGTAGATTTAAATGTTGTTTATTCTTAGACAACCAGTAACCGACCGTCGTTTCTGGTACATTTGATTTCTAATATCATCTATATTGAAATTTTATACCAAATGATTGAATATTCAAACTCCTGATTTCAGGTTAACCATAGCTAATTGAAACATAATATACGACTTTCTATATCGGTATATACAGGGTGGCATTGAAATTAGTGCAAATATTTCAAACACTGAGGAAGCTCGACATGTACTATCGAATGGCACTAATAAAAAAAATTTAGTTATCAAAATAAAATTTGAGGTAAGACCCCTTTTTCCACCCAAAGTTCTACACTGTAGCAAATCTGACGTCACCTTTGTTCAAATTTCCATGCGGTAGGCACAATCACGCGAAGTTCAATAATCTAAATTGTTTTAAAGTGGCGTACTCGATTTTTTTCTCGTATTTTGTTCAATTCTTGGAATGAAATTTCTTGTTAATTAGAAGAATTGGGAACAATCTGATATCTTGGGAATATTCCTCAGACTATATCATATTAATGTGCTGAATATATGTGCACTTATTTCGGAAACACCTTGTATATATAATATACAGATTGTTTATCGATTCGTTACATGTAGGAGTATTAAAAAAGGATGGCATTTGGCAACATTGCCAGCTACGGAGAATAGCGCTTGTTTCACTGTAGGAGGCGGACACTAGCGAAGACGTGCGATAGCCGCATCAGTTTCTTGCGATGTTGCCATCCAAATGCCCTATATGTAACGATAAATGAACTGCATATTTCTTCTTAAGAAGTCATCTTGGTATAGGGTATCAGGATGTTAAAAGAAAACGTCACACTATTTTTTTCAATCTTGAAAGTATACGTATGTGGAGTGCCACATAGCCAAATACGGAAAAGATCATATCAAGACAAGTTGATGTATCTATATTTTGTAAATGACGTGATCCCTCTTTACATTCGAAAAAAAAATTGATGGTGGCCACTAGATACTAGGCCACGTGACCACAACCATTTTCATGCCAAACAGTAGTAAAAGAGTTACATAAATTTTTTCGTGAATTTTACCCGACCTCGCTAGCTCCCGTTCAGAAAAGAGGGTAATATGTAGAATTGCCATATAAAATTAATGACCGATATTTAAGAAATGATTCATCGTAATTTCCTGACATTTGGTTGTGACATTTCTCTATTGAAAAATATCGATCCGGATTTGGGAAAAAATCATGTTTTATTGTTATATCCTTTTCAGATTCAGACAGATGAGACAAAATGCTATAAGATCTGCTTTTCAATTTGCACAGACACTTTGGATCAATTCACAGCGGTAGCATCAACAGTGGTCACTATACAGCCTATTGCAAACATCCGTACTCGAACATCATTCTACCTAAATGTCTCGAATGGGATAGACGTGTTTCACTGTGCGGTCTATAAATTTAAAGTATTTATTGAAAATCTGTGAAAATAAGTTTACCAGTTGTGTTAGTGAGTAGTAAGATAGTGTACAAAAAATCATTCCATATTACATCGCTGAATTGGTACTTGATTTGAATCATAAAACCAAATTTGAAATGGGTACACGAGCTAATAAACGGGGCGAGGACGATCTGCAGACATTAGTCAGAAATTTAGTTCTGAAACTTTGCTCATCCGAAGAATTTATTAATCAGGTAACTACCACTATAACGGAAACACTTAAAGAAAATTATGGAAAAGAAATTGAATCGTTGAAGGAGAAAAATGAGAGTATGTTGAAGAAGCTGGAAGATCAAGAAGTACAAATCAACACCCTCATGGAAAAACAAGAAAAATATGATCAGTACCGAAAAAGTAGAAATATCATAGTATATGGTGTCTCCGAGGAAAATAATGAAGACTGTAGTTCAAAACTACTTGGTATTTTCCAAAACAAAATGAAATTGCATATTGATCATGTCAACATCGAGAATTGCCATAGGATGAAATCATCAAATTTGACAAAACCCAAACCTATTTTTGTAAGATTCACCACCAACAACTATAAAAATGATGTTTACTATAATAAGAAATCTCTGAAAAACACTGGTATTCTCATTAGGGAGGATCTAACAAATCAGCAGCGTCAAATTCTCACCGCCGCCATCAGAAGATTTGGTAATAATGGAAAAGTATGGACCAACCATGGAACTATTTTTGGCAAATTCAACGAAGAAGCAAATGTAATCAAAATCAATTCCTTAGGTGATCTTGCTAGACTTTTTAATTGAATATTTATCTTTCTCCGCTTTCTTTTCTCTTTGATGATTTATATTATATCATATTATATATCTTGAATCTGAATCACTTAATTTTTAACTCAAAGCTAACTCAACAATCATAATTGATAATTCTACTTTATAAATACAAATTGAAAAATTCGTCGACAGCATGGGTGCAGTTTATTCTTGCCCATTAAGTGTTTTTGCTACTTTCTTAGATAGGAGTGAGATTGGAATCGTTTCCTTCTCTCAGTTTTTTTTTTCTTTTTGTTAAAATATTTATTTTTTGCCTTGTAAACGTACATTGCTGATAATTGTTTGTGGTCTAAATATAAGTACCTAAGTGAAATAATTTGATATGAACTATTTGAAAATAGGCGGGTTGAATGTCAGATCTCTGATACCATCATTATTAGATGTTAAAAATATTATAGCACAGGAAAATTTCGATATTTTCACAGTTTGCGAGTCTTGGCTGAAAGCGGATGTACTGGATCATTCGATCAAAATTAATGGATACAAGTTATTTAGGAAGGACAGACAGAGTCGGGGTGGTGGAGTCTGTATATATGTTTCGAATAAATTGAAAAGCGAAGTCAGCTGTCAACCTAACCGTTTTTGTGAACAATTGTGGGTAAAATTTTCTATTCAAAGAAAAACTTTTGCAGTGGGTGTAATATACAAGGCCCCTCTACAGGATGAGAAATTGTTTTTAGAGGAATTTGAAGATACTTTGAGTTATTTTCATTCAACGGTAGATGAAATTATATGTACTGGCGATTTCAATATCAACGTCCTAGATTTCGGAAATACACACGTAGATAATCTTTTGTCAGTTATTAAAATCTTTCATTTGACTCAAATCATTGATATGCCTACAAGAATAGGTAAGAGCAGCCAAACACTATTAGATTTGATTA